AGTAAAAATAATGAGCTGAGCGAAATTTTAAGAGAATCTTATGCTTATTTCACATTTCATAAGAGTTATTATATTTCAAAATGTTGACCCTATGTGGGGGGGGGGGGGGGTACTTGAGGGAGTGGTTCGATATTGTCCATTTTCGCACCCGACCTAGCATTGATGTAAATATTAGGATTTGGAAAGTTTGAACAAAATCGAATGTTCTTTTTTCTGTCTATGTGGTAAATTTTATTCTCTGAAAATGTTGACCTCTTGTAGGGAAGGTTCCAGAAGAAGTGTACCGACATTGCCTATCTCCTAACTCGATATAAGTTTGGTAATAATATTACGACATGCCAAGGTTGGACCAAATCGGATACTGCCTTCGAGAGTTATCGTGCACATCAGCCAGACAGACAGACCGGTGGTCGGACAGACGGACGCCCCTCCAAGTGTTGTGCAATGGATTTGGTGCAAAGAGACCTAGGGTCCATAACCTTTATTTCGACGAGGCACGTTTTGGCCGTATCAAATGATATAAACCCTGAGCAGCAATATGACTGAGGGCAAAAAAGAAGATGGCACTTTGAAATTTTACATCGCAAACCAAATGGAGGGGCAAGTTCCTGCCCGCCGCTTCCACACTTTTGGAAATTTTCTGATTAAGATTTCTCGGAATTCGTACATTTTAGGTAAATAGTATCTCTGGGAATATTGCAGATAAAAATGCGAGGAATATTTGGTCGAAAATTTTAACCCACGAGCGAGTCAATAAAGATGGGTTTTTGGTCCTTTTTATATCCTACACCACAAAGTGGTAAGGCTATCAAGTCAGATTTAAGTGAATAAAATTTTGTCAAGATCGGCTCAGATATAGCTCCCATATATATGTTTCATGCGATTTGGTGTTTAAGTAATATGCACTCAATAACAAAGATATTTGGTATCGGATATCAGTTACCAGAAATATCATTGTCAAATTTTATCAAGCTCCCATATATATATTTATCCTATTTCAGGTTTATTGTGCACAAAATGGCTAATATCAGCCCAAATAAACTGAATCGTGGAAATTCCGAAAGAAATTCAGCCTTGAAGCAAGTACTTCAAATTTTGGTAAAAATACTTCATATATAGCTATAGCTTCCTTATAAATGTTTCATCCTATTTGAGGGACCAATAATGCGTAATAGGCACTGCACAACAAGGATATTTTATACCGTACATAAGATACAGCTCCAAAAAAATATCTCTGCCAAATTGTATTAAGATCGGCTCAGATTTATATATAGCTTCGATAAACATCTTCATCTAATTTTACAATTATTGCCTACCATATAAGTTATATCAGCCCAAATTGAATATATTTTTTTCATATTCAACCACATTTTTCCATTAGGTGAAACTCGGTCCGGTATTTCTATTGGCCCAATAAATATTTATACCCTACAACACTATGTGTTGGGGGTCTTATAAGTGTGATTGGGCCAAAAAGTATGTAACACCTCGAAATATTGGTTTCCTACATAGGAAAGTTATATGGATCTTCCTTCCTTCGCCGAGCTGAGTCGATCTAGCTATATCCGTTCGTCCGTCTGAACAGAATCCTATTGCTTTTTGAGATGATCGTATAATATTTAGGGGTTGAAATGGACCAAAAACTGAAAAATGTACTGAGTTTGCAGTTGCTTTGCAGTTCGCAATTATGGACCAATCGAAGCGGAAGTTAGCCCAGCCCCTATCTCGCAGCAAGTTAGAGTTTAGGACAGCGAGTAGAATGGGCCACTACTTTTGTGTGAAAAAATACCAACATTACTTACAGGCTATATCCGAAATACACAAAAGGCGAACTTCTGCCCTTTTTATGGTGATTTCGTTGACGAAAATAGCCAAAGACAAGCAAATCATATAGATGAGTCTAAATTTAGAAATACAGAGGGGCCTCTTGCACAATATTTAGAAGTCCAAATGAGCCAAACACAGAAAAAAATTCCCTGATCACATAATTGAAGCTAATGGACACGCCTGAGAGGAGAATTAAGGACAGGGAAGAATTCTAGCATTTTGGATGATCATTGGATTATATTTATCTGTAAAATGGACCACAACAACTAACAACACAACGGAATGCGTAAATTTTATACAAACATGGTCGGCCCCGCACGACTATAGCCTTTGCTTACTTGTTTTTAATATAATTCTTCTGGAAGTCATATCATGCACTATACTGCAATGTTATTTGGTATTAGAAGTACAAAAGCCTCGATCAAATTTGTTGAAAATCGATTCAGTGTTGGATATAGTTCTCAAATTGTGGCTACTCTTAAGCCATGATACACATTTGAATAAGGTTCATAGTTGGTATGATCTACTTCACGCAAATTCCCAATATAAACTTCTTTTGTTACGGGAGCTTTACTAAATACGCATAGTTGTGTAGGATACCATATAGTCGGTCCCGCCCGACTTTTGACCTCTCCCTACTGGTTTAGCTCTATTTTCTGTGATTATTAAAAAATTAATAATTTTGTCGGACAGTGTAATACACCGAATTTATCCTGTAATTATGAAAATAATTGAATTTTGTCACACCCTGTAATATTTACTTTATTTGTCTCTGAAACTTTTAACCACACCTACGTATTAGAAAACTAATGCAATTTCCATTTGATTCTGTAACTGCTCATGAAACTTTTACTCAGTGTGTGTGTGTGTTGCTTTTCGTAGACTTGCAAATGAATACGGAACTGTGAACTACTCAATTTTTCTTTTTTTGCTAGAATACATAGTTCTTTTTTCCCCGATTTGCCCAGTATTCACGCTTTGTAATGGTTTCAAGTGTAATTTGGTGGCTTTGCCATTATTTGTAATTCTCCCAAGTCTTTGGCGCTTTTTTGTTCGTATGTCACACAATGTAGTTTTGTAAAAATTCACAACTTTACATGAGTTGAGAATGTGAAGCACATAAAGAGGATGGAAAACACTCATTCATTTGACATAAAAATGTAAAGGGGAAAAATGATGCTGGGAAGAACTTTACCGGTGTAGAAGTGTTGTGAAATAAACGACAGATCGTATTCTCAAATACAAAGGATGGGAGAAAAATTCATATTAAATATAAATTTTAGATGGTACTTGGTCAGGCAAAAATTTGTTAGAGATATTCCGTACAGAGATTTTAGATGAACAATTAAAGCGGTGTATGAATAAATATTGACGACAATCAGAAAAAACACATATATGCTGCTAAAAATAGGCTTCCCCTACAGGGTGAGATGAAAAAATGCAACCAACTTCAGACTGCTGTCATTTCTAAGACACTCGTCCGACAGCTGTTAAATGTGAATAAATCTTTTGTGTCTCATACTATTCCTCATTACCGTGATACTGGTATCGTAGCCCGACGTCAAGAAAGTGGACGGAAGAAAACAGCAGAAATGGTTCGAAAAGCGACGACTTGATCGAAACCCGCATCGCAGTGGCCGAAATATGGCTCGTGAGCTGAAAGTATCTCAATATTCCCTTCAGTAAATATTGAAAAATCGGGGTAAAGCCATTGAAATTCCAAAAAGTGCAAGAACTTACACCGCAACAAAAAGAATATAGACTCAAAAGTGCTAAAGAGTTGCTTCGCTTGGCCGAAAGTGGTGAACTGCCGAATTTGGTTTTCTCCTATGAGAAAACATTCATTGTTTATCTGTTTGTAAACAAACAAAATGATCGTGTTTACTAGTCAAAGAGGTCAGCTGATAATGTGCACCTTCGGTTGGCCACCAGAACTCAAGCGCCGGTCATGGTGATGTCGTGGGCCGCCATAACAGCCGATGGTTGCTCTCCGCTCGTATTAATCGACCGTGGCATCAGAATAAATGCCAAATATTATCACGAAAATATTCTGGAGGGTGTATTAAAGCCTTGGACACGCAAACATATTGGCCGCAGACCTTGGACATTCCAACAGGACTCCAACAGGCACCATCGCACTCAGCACGCGCCACCCAAGAATGGTTACAAAATGAGATTCCTCGATTCATTTCCAATGGCCACTAAAATCTCCGGACACGAATCCGATGGACTATTGTGTCTGGAGTATTTTGAAAAACAAGGTTGGCACTAAAAAATACCAAAGTGTCGATCACCTAAGGCAAGCGCTTAGCGGGAATGGACGAAAATACCACAGGGCAGCATTCTGGCAGCGTGTGACGGTTTCATTGGCCGTTTGAAGGCCATATATCGTGGCAAAGGTGACCAATTCGAACAAATCTAAACTTATTCTAAAATTTGATGCTATTTCCGAATTTTTTTGCTTTCATTCAAAAAAATTTCAATTTTCAATTTCAAATTTATCTTACCCTGTATATGTAAAAAATATAGATCTTAGTTATTCTCCTTATAAGTCAAGAATCGCTGGACAGATTTTCACAATTCGGAATGATCTCTTGCCAGAAAAAGATAATATCTAGGAAAATCGCGTAAAAATATGGCATTAAAAAAGAAAATATTTTTTGTCATATTTTTTATCGCATGCTATTTTCTCAATTTGATTTACAATTTTGAATTGTACATTTTCTAAAGTTTTTCTACACCCTACAGCGCTATGAGTTGAGGTTATTGCATAAAGCTCGCAGTAATCGTACGATGCTCACAAAATTTTGCACGGGGTTAGGGTAGAGATAGAATTAAAGCCTATTGTGTTTAATGATGTTCATTTAAGGGTTCAAATGCACCAAAAAAATTAAAATTTTCCTGAGTTTGCAGTCGCTCTACAGGCCACAATTAAAAACCCATCGACACGGAATTTTGACACGACGGAGTGCGTAAATATTCTGTAAATGCCCTCGTCAAAAAGCTAAGGGTGGGCGTTATGGCATATATCAAAAACGAAATCTTCCAAAATGGATTTCGACATAAGGGGCCTTTCAACATATTGTAGTGCTGTAGGGTATCATATGATCGGACCCGTGCGAGCATAGCCTTTTCTTACTTGTTTAATATTGTAACGCCCAAAAGTCATGCTTTCGTTTTTGGGGTACATTATTATTTTAAATACCATTTTTACTTACGTATGTTATATACATCAACTATGAATTATATTTTTTGTTTGAAAATGAATTAAAATATTTAAGTTATGAATTAAACTAACAGCTACTCAGGGTCATGTAATTTAAATGTATTTGAATATTAACGGTCACACAGGTCCCCTAGTAGAAAGAAGTATACTTAAAATACAACATTGGAACCCCTGGTGGCAAATGGCGGAACTACGCAAAACTGTCAGATTGGGATCAGCTGCTGTCATGAGAAAACAACAATCGTTGTCCAGCCAAAAAGGTATAAAAGGAGACGCATTTCACACAATCGAGATCAGTCTTCTGTTGATGGCTGGTAAGTCAAGTGTGATTGGGAGGAAGAAAAGGCGCGCAACCTCGGTTGAATTGAGTCTTAGTAAGCCAAACAATAAGCCTTGACTATTTGTGGTGACTGGACTGGACTGAACGCAGGGTCAAGTGAGGGTTGTAGCAATACTCCCTATTCTTCGGGCTGCGTTGACGGCGACTGAACGCAGGGTCAAGTGAGGGTTGTAGCAATACTCCCTATTCTTCGGGCTGCGTTGACGGCGACTGAACGCAGGGTCAAGTGAGGGTTGTAGCAATACTCCCTATTCTTCGGGCTGCGTTGACGGCGACTGAACGCAGGGTCAAGTGAGGGTTGTAGCAATACTCCCTATTCTTCGGGCTGCGTTGACGGCGACTGAACGCAGGGTCAAGTGAGGGTTGTAGCAATACTCCCTATTCTTCGGGCTGCGTTGACGGCGACTGACGTACTCAAAAATGTCAAACGAAAAGACAATGTTGAAGGTCTCCTGGGCCTATATGCTAAAGCAAGAAGACTTGGTAACATATCTTACTGAATTCAATCTTGATCCAGTTGGAAAAGTGGACGATCTCCGAAAAAGATGGGCTAAATTTCTCCACAACGACCATGAAGCCGATGTATACAGACGGCTTATAGAGTTGCAGAACAAACATGAAAGTACCAGTCCGACCAAATCGCCGACATTGCGAGCCGTCACAAAACAACCCCTTATAACCGTAACACCGTGTGGAGCAGAAGCAATAGTATTATCCCCAATAAAAACAGAGTACGCCCTTCCCCACATTTCCGCGGAAAGGTCACATGGAGAGTCAAGCACAGGGGTAACAAACGATCAAAAAGTACAGAAGATGTCGCCAACAAACCCCGAATATGGATTTCAAAAAGATTCTCCGCCCAAGCCATCCAATAATTCGTCGTTACTCGTAATTCTCGACCAAATCCGAAAATGGAATATTACTTTTGAAAATGGAATGGACCCTATTGGATTCGTAGAACGTGTAGAAGAAATGGCTGAAATGTACATCGTGGAATTGAATCAAATAATTAAAGTAATGCCAGAGTTGTTACGAGGTAAAGCTTTAATCTGGCTAAGGAACAACAACCGACACTGGACTACCTGGAACGAATTTAAGAGTGATTTTCTGAAATTCTTTTTGCCACCGAGATACTTTGAGAAATTGGAGGATGAAATTAGGAGAAGGATACAGCGTAATAAGGAGCCGTTTAAGGAATATGTACTCTCTATACAGCATCTTATGCAGCACACCAATATGACCGAAGAACAAAAATTGGAACGAATTTTTAGAAACGCGCATTCGGATTATCAATGGTACATTCGCCGTAAAGACTTTACCACACTTTCGGAATTGATCTCCTTGGCAGACGAACTCGAAAGCATACCAAATAATTCTCGGTCAGAACAGCCTCGAAATCAACAAAACTATAATCGACGTGCGGACAACTCTAGAAATAACCTGTATTGCACCAATCAAGGTGACCAAGTGCTAAACGAAAGCTCATCCAATCCAGAAACGCAGCAGGATGAACCCCCGGCAAAGAAGAGTAACCAGAATGTTACATCATTGCAATGTGAAGAATATCGCCTTACTGCAACTGTCTTAATAGAGGGGAAAGCTATTAAAGCAACTGTCGACACTGGTGCCACTAGCTGTTTTATAAAAAGAGAATTTGCGGAAAAAATCAAGAAAAGGTTTACTTATTCACGGCATGAGGCAAATGTTATCCTCGCAGACGGCACCACGGTGAACATCACCAGATCAACAGTGTTACCTGTTACATTTGGAAACCAAAGCTCAGATGTTACATTTCTCATCATGCCGCAATTCAAGGAAAACATCATATTGGGATTGGAATTTCTAAAACAGTTCCACACGACCATTCACTGCGCCGGTATAAGTGTCAAATTAAGTAAGCCAACCACCTCAACGGAGCATTGTACCGTGGCTATAGGAGAGGAAACCCCATCAAAAGAGGTAATAGATACAATGACAGCTACGAATAATGTATCCCCCAGACCTAAATTCTTAAACGATGAATTGAGTAAAACGCAATGTGAGATCGTTGAAAATTTTCTGGCACAGGAACTCCCTAAGTTCCAACAATTAAATGGCCTATCGTCAATAGCTGAACATAAGATTGTAATGACCGACGATCGACCCATTAAATTAAGATATGCTCCGCGAAATCCTGCAATGCAAGCCGTGATTAATGCCGAAGTGAGAAAGCTCGAAGAACGAGGATGTATAGAGCCGTCTACAAGCCCATACTGTTTCCCCATCACATTAGTCAGAAAGAAAAATGGGAATTGGAGAACTTGTATGGATTTTCGCCAATTGAATAAACGTTCTGTTCCAGATGCCTACCCTTTACCCCGCATCGACACAATACTGAATCGACTACGGGATGCCAAATACGTGAGTAGCCTGGACCTTAAAGACGGATATTGGCAAATACCTATGGCGAAGGAGAGCAGAAAATACACGGCCTTTGCGGTAGCTGGTAAAGGTCTATATCAGTGGAAAGTGATGCCTTTCGGTTTGCATTCAGCACCGGCAACCTTCCAACGGGCATTAGATAGTGTGATTGGGCCTGAAATGGACCCCCACGCTTTTGCATACCTTGACGATATCATCGTCATTGGAAAAACGTTTGAGGAACACTTGCGGAACTTGAGAGAAGTGTTCAGAAGATTGCGATCAGCTAACCTGAGAATAAACATTGAGAAATGCGAATTTTTCAGAAAAGAAACGAAGTATTTAGGCCATGTTGTGAGTAGCGAGGGAATAAAGACGGATCCAGATAAAGTTGCCGCAATAGTGGAAATGAAACCTCCAACATCGGTAAAGGAGGTACGAAGATTTCTTGGAGTAGCATCTTGGTACCGAAGATTTGTCCCACAGTTTGCAACAAGTTCACAACCATTGACTAGTCTTCTTAAAAAGGGAAAACATTGGAAATGGGGTCCCGAACAACAAGAAGCATTCTCAGACCTAAAAGCAAAGTTGACTGAAGCCCCCGTTCTGGCTTGTCCGGATTTCACAAAGACGTTCATATTGCAAACTGATGCCAGCAACTATGGCCTTGGAGCAGTTCTAACACAGGAGTTAGATAACGTGGAACGTGTCATAGCCTACGCCAGCAGACATTTAAAACAGGCTGAAAAGAACTACTCAGCGACTGAAAGGGAATGTCTAGCCATACTGTGGGGCATCAGACACATGAGACCCTATTTAGAGGGTTACCAGTTTATAGTTATTACCGATCATTTGGCCCTAAAATGGTTAAATTCTATTGAAAGCCCTACAGGTCGACTCGCACGTTGGGCTCTCGAGCTACAGCAATATAATTTTTTGATCAGATACCGTAGAGGAAAACAGAACGTTGTGGCAGATGCGCTTTCGAGAACACCTTTGGAAACGTTAGACCTAGCCACAGTAAAATATGACACCAGTCCGTGCCCATGGCTAGAAAAGTTGAAGGAAACCATAACCAAGAATCCGAAGAAGTATCCAGACTATACAATCATTGAGGGAAATGTTTATCGACATTTTCCCAAGCAAATAAACGATGAAGATTGCACACCATGGAAGCTGTGTGTGCCCACCGGATCAAGGATTCAGGTCCTTAGAGAAAATCATGACAGTGTCACCGGAGGTCATTTGGGAGTGCGAAAGACTAGCAACAAGGTGGCGAACCGATATTTTTGGCCTGGTATGTTCCAGGACATCAAACGTTATGTCCAGCAGTGCGAATGTTGCCAAAAATATAAAGTCAGCCAACAGAAACCAGCAGGGGAAATGTTGATAAGAATCCCGGAGGAACCATGGGCCACTATTTGTGCGGACTTCGTAGGACCCCTACCGCGATCTAAGCACGGTAACTCAATGCTACTCGTTATTATGGATAGATTCTCAAAATGGACGGAGTTGGTTCCATTGCGGAAGGCTACGACAGAGGGATTAATAAAGGCATGCAGAGAAAGAATTATTTCTAGATATGGGGTTCCAAAAATATTGATAACCGATAACGGAACCCAATTCACTAGCAACCAATTCGAAAAATTCCTAGCAGAAATGGGTATAAAGCATCAACTTACGGCTCCTTACACCCCGCAAGAGAACCCTACTGAAAGGACAAATCGGACAGTGAAAACAATGATAGCACAAGTTTCGAAACAACATAATACATGGGACGATATGCTGCCCGAAATAATGTTAGCCATAAACACTAGTGCATCAGAATCCACTGGATATTCGCCGGCATACCTGACACAAGGAAGAGAACCGCGACTGCCCCAGGCATTATATGATCAGCTCACAACAGGAACTGGTGCTAGAATAGTCTTACCAGAAGACCGTGCCCAGGAGTTGAAAGAAATATTTAAGATAGTGCGTCGAAACTTGGCAAAAGCATCTCAAAACCAGCGGAGACAGTACAACCTTAGACGACGAGTTTGGAAACCAAAGATTGGGGAGCAAGTTCTAGTTCGTCTACATCCTCAGTCGAAGGCCGTCGAAAATTTCGCCGCCAAACTAGCGCCCAAATACGGAGGGCCGTTTGTCGTACAAAAATTCCAATCTCCAGTAATCGTTGTAGTCCGAGGAAAAGACAACATCACCCGCGTCGCGCACTTAAGTGAAATTAAGCCTTTTTATGAAGAACAAAATTAAATTGTAGACATAGAAGTAGAATGTTGATTGTAGTTCCACTTACGTTTATGTGATGCCATTTCATTATAGTTTCTTATTTTATTTTTAGACATTAAATTGACAATACCCAAACTAATCAGTGTCCTAATATAAGCCCATACTTCAAAGACCATCGCAATTCTCAAAATTTCAACATCACGATGGAGCAAGATAGCCCCAACACGAAAAAATTCAAACGGGCGAAGGAGAAATTTCGAGCTCATCTGGAACAAGTCGAGGCTCAAAGGCGAAGGACAATATTTTTAGACGAAGGTCCTAGTACCAGCCGAAAGAGGAGAACAAATCAATACCGTAAGCCCAATCCAAGAAAGGGTAGCAGTCAATCCTCATCGCCCCAGCACCAAATATTTTACCGAATGTGCAGCACAACCCCGAATGACGTTCCACAGCAAAAGTGTAACACGACCGAAAACAACAGCGACGATATCGATGAAACTGACTCTTTGAACGAGGAAACCCAGCCTAGTAGTGACGTCCCGCGTACACCAACCTACGCCCCGTGTTTTGGTTCGCCAAATAGCTTTAAGCCGGCTTCCGATGTGCTCTCAACACCCACTTCAAGGTGCTCAGAAATGCCTGTTACACCGGGTAAAGAATGGTGTCGTGACTCAGATGACGCATCAACTCTTCCTCGGCCCAATATGGAGGAGTCGGGTGAATCTCAATCAAATTTCGAAATGGATGAAGAATGTCGGCGTATGTTTTACGGTTACTTAGAAACCTCAGTGACTCGGCGAGCACAGTCACCCTTATCCTCGAATAATTCCTCGCTGGATGAGTCGGATAACGAAGATCAACGTTCCTCGTCTCCGCCAAAAAGGTATGGTCTGGGATTTGTCCGTCAGAAAGATAGCCAATACAAATATCTCGGATTTCGCTGTTATGAGAGAACAGTTACTGTGCAGCTTTTGGTCCCCGACTCCGGGGAAAATCCAATATATGAAATAACCAACCCACCGCCGGATAATCATCGTACGCCCTCACCCACACCCGCGATAGGGGAAGAGATCAACACCGAAGATATCCATTCAATATCCAACACCTCACACAAACATGAGGAGGTTCCTACTTCATCCTCACATGCTTTCGCACATTTAGAAGAAGACTCCAGATCGACCGCAAGTAGTTTTGTGACAGTTTCCGAAGATCCTAGTTCTGAGTGGTGGACCCAATGGCAGACGCTGGTTGGTGTTCCTCCATCATCACCGCTATATAACATAACCGAACAAGCAAATCTGTTGCATAGTGATGACGTACAAATTCCATCGCAATCCAATGCTGCCGTCATATCGGACGATCACAGGTCCCCCAACGTGAAGGAAGATAAATCATTACCAGGAACGCCGGGACACGTTGTCGAACTGTCATCACCATCGATGTCTTCCCGATCGTCATCCTCATCCTCATCAGCCTCGTCGTCTTTATCGTCATCCTCATCCTCATCAGCCTCGTCGTCTTCATCATCATCCACAAGCCAAACGATGACACCTCATCAGCCAACATTGTGTAGCAGTCAACCTTCCATCGATGAAGTGTTTATACCCAGTAAGGAGAATAATAGCACACCAAGTACAATCAAATTGCCAGTCACTGAAATCCCAACTGAGTCAACGCCATCGTCCTCGACAGACAATCCCGTGAACGATAACACATTTCTCGAACTGCCAAATTATCCCGAAAACCTACAAATCCGTATCGAGAAGTTTAAAAACAATTGGAAAAAGGGACACAAACTGAAGCGAATTGTTAAACAAGATGGCAAGCAGTACCGCATAATAATATCAGCAGACGGGGTAGTGAAGGTATCTCTCCGAACTTCTGCAATTGGTCTCTAACATACCTTCCTATTCGACCGAGATATAGTCGAACCAAAGTGCCCATGTCGGAGAAATAAAAGGTTACATAACACCCTAGGGCTTCCTGGCTATTGAAACCCAATAGCAATAGAGAAAGCAAATCAAGGAATCAAAAATCAGAGGGAGGAAGAGATGCCATGTAACGCCCAAAAGTCATGCTTTCGTTTTTGGGGTACATTATTATTTTAAATACCATTTTTACTTACGTATGTTATATACATCAACTATGAATTATATTTTTTGTTTGAAAATGAATTAAAATATTTAAGTTATGAATTAAACTAACAGCTACTCAGGGTCATGTAATTTAAATGTATTTGAATATTAACGGTCACACAGGTCCCCTAGTAGAAAGAAGTATACTTAAAATACAACATTGGAACCCCTGGTGGCAAATGGCGGAACTACGCAAAACTGTCAGATTGGGATCAGCTGCTGTCATGAGAAAACAACAATCGTTGTCCAGCCAAAAAGGTATAAAAGGAGACGCATTTCACACAATCGAGATCAGTCTTCTGTTGATGGCTGGTAAGTCAAGTGTGATTGGGAGGAAGAAAAGGCGCGCAACCTCGGTTGAATTGAGTCTTAGTAAGCCAAACAATAAGCCTTGACTATTTGTGGTGACTGGACTGGACTGAACGCAGGGTCAAGTGAGGGTTGTAGCAATACTCCCTATTCTTCGGGCTGCGTTGACGGCGACTGAACGCAGGGTCAAGTGAGGGTTGTAGCAATACTCCCTATTCTTCGGGCTGCGTTGACGGCGACTGAACGCAGGGTCAAGTGAGGGTTGTAGCAATACTCCCTATTCTTCGGGCTGCGTTGACGGCGACTGAACGCAGGGTCAAGTGAGGGTTGTAGCAATACTCCCTATTCTTCGGGCTGCGTTGACGGCGACTGAACGCAGGGTCAAGTGAGGGTTGTAGCAATACTCCCTATTCTTCGGGCTGCGTTGACGGCGACTGACGTACTCATCGGGCTGCTGCTGTGCCAAAGCTGCCGCCACCCGATTCGTCGTGCGCGTATTCATCAGGCCGCCGCTGTGCCAAGCTGCCGCCACTACTACTCGCCGCTGACGTATTCATCGGGCCGCCGCTGTGCCAAAGCCGCCGCCACCCTATTCGCCGCTCGCCTATTCATCGGGCCGCCGCTGTGCCAAAGCCGCCGCCACCCTATTCGTCGCTCGCCTATTCATCGGGCCGCCGCTGTGCCAAGCTGCCGCCACTACTATTCGTCGCTCGCCTATTCATCGGGCCGCCGCTGTGCCAAGCTGCCGCCACTCTATTCGTCGCTCGCCTATTCATCGGGCCGCCGCTGTGCCAAGCTGCCACCACTGCTACCCGTTTATTAACATTTCGACTGAACTTTGTGATTTAGTGTTCTTCGTAAAACGTTCTGAACGTGATTTTATTGTGTTTAGTGTAGTGTTTAGTGTTATTTAAGGAAATAAATTTATAACGTTTTAAGAAAATATTTTTGCTTCGCTCTCTCTCTCTTTATGTCCTAACAAATAAATTTTTGTGACGACTCTGGCCCCCGCTGAACCTACCCCAGCTTCAAAGTGAAAACACGTCGTCACAATATGTTTTTCTATTTTGAATTTGATTCATTACAAGATTCAGATTTTGAATCCATAAAAATCATCAGGAAATAATAATACAATTCTTAATACCGTTTCAATATACTATTCATGTGACTTTGGTAATAAAATCCATGTTATTCTTCTAATACTTAAATTCCCCACAAATTACGTTTATTTTCCCTTCCTTTCTTCCAATACACCCTAAAGTCATTGGGAATGCCTCATATGCCCCATCACTCTTCAAAATAATATGTACTCAACAATTGAAGAGCAGCAACACTTATTATCTGAACAGTAGCTGCCAGATGAACGAACAAACGCACAGTAGCCGTCACGAAATAAAGTTGATGACGCTGATGAACCGAAACGAATCACTTAAAAGGGCATCTTTTCGTTAACTTTTTTTGTGTTCAACATACAAATTTAATTATTTGAATTGGAGCGGACTAGAGCAGGGTTAATGCAATATTTTATACATTTTATGAGCAACCAAAGAATTTACATGGCTTTCCAATTTGAGATTTTTTAAAATCTTTTGTTTTGATTGAGTTGACATGACATAAATGTTAACATGTGTAGTATTTATCAATGCAACGGTCAAGCAAATAGAGGTGTTGGTATTCGGTTAGTAAATCCAAACCCAAAAAATCGAACTTTTTTAGAACCCTTTATAAACCATAAACAAGAAGTTTTCAATAATTTTCATTATATATCGCAATTTGAAATAGTGCCTGGTAATTTACTGGACACCTTGCATTACATCTTGAATCATTAGGTCCACATACAGGTAAACTCCATATAAGAGCATATTCACCCCTTTAAGTACTTTTTTATATTTTAGTCACATTTTCGAAAAAAATGTGTATTTTGATTACTCTGTAGGTAGGACCCCCCTTACAAAAAATTTTCAAATCCTCATACAGGATTCCTCCCGATTTTAGCTTTTTCTACAGTCTTGACCAAATTTCCCAAATTATTCGCCACGTATTTTCAATTTAGGTCAATGTTTTGCAGTAGCCCTCTTTTGAAGGTACCTAATAATTTTAGCTATTTCGAGGATCTTGGTCAAATTTCAAAATCGATTTGTCATAAGCCATTAAAATATTCAAATGCGAAACTTAAAAAAATTGGTTATAATCAGGAGGTACCATTATATGGGGGCTATACGAAGACGTGGATCTGCAAAGACAATTTTCTGTCGTAGGCTGTAGTATCTATTACGAACATTAAATACCAAATTTGAAACAATTCCGGTGAATGAATTCGCTAAAATCATCAAAATATCGAATATCGGGAGGTACCGTTATATGGGGGCTATACGAAGACGTGGACCTGCACAGACAATTTTCTTTCATTTGCTGTAGTATTAAAAAATTAAAAATTTCAAATACCAAATTTGAAACAATTCTGGTGAAGAATGTCTATAAAATCATTAAAATACAGAATATCGGGAGGTACCGTTATATGGGGGCCCTACGAAGACGTGGACCTGTAGAGACAATTTTCTGTCATAGGCTGTAGTATCCATTATGAACTATATATATATACCAAAACGTGGACCTACATGACCCATTTTCAATACCAAAAGTCCTGTAGACATAACATACAGTTGAGCAAAATTTTATCAATCTACTTCAATGCGTTCGGAAGCTAGAGTGATTTCCACAGACGGACAGACGGATAGACGGACAGACGGACGGACACCGCTAAATCGATATAGAATTTTATGCTGATCAAGAATAAATATACTTTGTGGGGTCTAAAATGTGTATTTCGAGGTGTTACAAACGGAATGACAATCTTAATATACCCTCCATAATATGGTGGAGGGTATAACAATTTTGGAAGAACTCGTGCCACAGTTCCCCATTTAAACATCCATGTGTGTCTATATTAGATATTTTCTTAAAACTTATTTTAACCAATGGAAAAACTCCACATAACAAGAGGTACAACTTTATAGCGCTCATGCAAAACACGTCAAATATAATGAGCAATATATGTCAATTCCTATTGGGGATCTACGTATACCTCTCAGTCAATATTCCTATATGTAAATATATTTTGAATTCTGTTATGATTATTCAAATTGTTGACACTCTATGGGGGAGGCTCCAAAGCGATTGGGCAATATGGACCAATTTGTATTTGACCCAAAACTAAAAAGTATTGCAACGTGCCAGATTTGGACTATATCGACTACTTCCTATACTTTACATGAAATATGTGAAAGTTTTTGGAAAATGTGAAAATATGCGTGTGGTAATGGATATAACGGACCGAAATATTCCAGTTTCATAATTTAAAGAGATAACTTTAAAGATAAAAATATTGGTATGTGCAAATTTTTAAGGAAATCGAACATATAAATCCAATTTTATGCTAAATCATAAATTTCGAAATTTTTTCATAATCATATCAGACTTTTGTTTAAAATAAATTTCAGATATACAAAGTTGTAAAAAATCACCGACTTGTTTCGCAGTTAGGACAGATATAAGTATTGGAAATAGTGACTCTTTCTGGATGATGTACCAGAAAGGTGTTGGCAGATGTATATCATCTTCACAACAGATCTTACATCAGTAAAACTATTTGGATGTCTAAAATTTGAAAAGAGTTGGATGCTTCTTTCACTTTCTTTGAGCGTTTTGTTTTTCAAAGTCTTGAACCCTATGTGGGGGAGGTACCAGAAGAAATTGTCCGAACTCTAACATCTTTATAAAAGATATTGTGTTGATGAAAATATTGAGATGTACGAAGTCTGAATGGAATCTGAACTTATTTTCGCGTCATGGATACTTAAAATTTTGACCCTTTGTGGTGGGGGTATCAGAAGGAGTGGTCGGATATATCCCATCTTCACATCAGATCTTGTTTGTGGATATGTTGGGATGTGCGAAGTTTAAAAACAATCGGATGCTTATTTCGCGTTTTATGAGCGTTTTGTTATTCAAAAATTTGACCCTTTGTAGGCGAGGTACTAGAGGGAGGGGTTTGCTATTTTCCATCTTTACACCCGATTTTGTAATGGTACAAAAATATTGGTATGTGTGTAATTTGATAAGAAACTGCATTATATTTGGCATTTTATGAGCGTTTTAGGTATATCAAATTTGGTCCCTTTGTGGGGGAGGTACTAGAAGGAGTAGTCCGATCTTGTTCATTCTGGCACCCAATCTTGCGATGATGCAAATATCACGATTGGCAAAGTTTGCACAAAATCAGATTATTCGTTCTCTTCCTATGCGGTAAACTATTTTCTATGAAAATTTTGATCTTTTGTGGGGGAGGTGCCAGAAGGAGTGGACCGATATTGACCATGTCCGAACTCAACCTAATTTGACAAAAACATTACGACGTACAAAGTTTGGACCAAATCGGACACTCCCTTCAAGAGTTATCATGCGCACCAGCCAGCCAGAGAGACGGACGGACATGAAGGCATAAATCTGTAGGAACATTTAGGTCCGATACAAAAGGCATAATATTAGCCCATTCCTTCCCTGTCTACCCCAATTTAAATAATTAGAGCAAAAGTCAAAAAGTCTTTAAATAATAGAACATTGGCTGAAGGTTGACATCTGTCGGCAAAACCGATTGATACTTTTTAAACCCTCCATCCATTGCTCCATTCCGTTTGTAACTCTTTCAAACGTATTGAGATAGAAGGCTAAAATTTTGCACACATGTGTATTTTCC